AATTAAAAATTATATTATTTATTATTTAATATTTTTATATAATAAATATAAATATATAATCATGTTTGTCTTTTTCTTTTTTAAACTCTAGTTTCTTCTTCTTCTCTTTTTCTAACACATCACTAATCTTATAGAATTTATTTTAATATTATAATGTTAAAATAATATTTGTATTATTTTATTTATTTAATATATTTATATTATTATTTATATAATATGATATTAGTGGTGCAGTAGAAAAAGATGAAAAGTATATGACATTAAAAATATAAAAACTAAAGTGATTATATGTTTATATTTAGTATATGAAAACTATATTAATAATAAATTATATTACTTATATATTAAAAAAATTATATCTAATTTTGTTATATATATTAGTGTTTATATTAAAGTGCAAGTAAATTAGATGGCTTAGTGGTCTAGGTCAATAAAAGAAAAGAGGATGGTTATGAGTTCAAATCTCTTTTTAATTATTTTTTATATTATTTTCTAAATCATAAATTTTATTATAAGATGATTAAAAATATAATTTAATTTAAATATTATTAATAATTAATTGTTATATCATTTATTTAATATCTCAAACATTATTTAACTGTAGTGTTAAATTTTGTATGTTTGAATTTATGTTTGTGCGGTGGAAATTTAGTTGGTTGCTTACATGATTAGTTATCAATATTTAGGCTCAGTTTAGTTTCGTATTTCACAGGCCTTGTTTTTTTCGTTTAGTGGTCGTTTAAGTACGTAATTAGCCGTAAGTAAATAATCTTTTGTTTAGGTAGTTTTGATGTAAATTTTAGTTGATATGCTATTTTCCTGTTGAACTAATTTTGGTTTCAGTAGTAGCTTGACAAGAATCATCATCAGGTCGGACTTGAGATTAGGAACTAAAGTGAATTAATTTGCTTATATTACGTAGGTAAACGGATTTCAAAATTTTGGAAAAACCAAAAGATAGAAATTCAATTGATACATTCATTGTGATATAGTCAAATTTGACAAACTCTTGATGTATTGAACTCGTTCATAAATTGACAAAATTTTGTAACTTATTGCTATGGTTTTTAAGAGCCTTGTATGATAGCAGCCCACTGAACAATGAGAGCAGTAACCACAATGGATCCAAGCCCAAAAGAACCATTCGCAAGCCCATATATGGCTTAAGGTGATTATTTTAAAAAAAGTTTTAATATATCTCTTATTCCCTGAATTTTTATTTTTATTTTAAAATTAAATCCCTAAATTAAACAAGTTTGTAATGAAGTCCTTCATCTATTTTTACTTTTGTAATTTTTCCTTAAATCAAAATTTGATAGAATATTATTTATATTATTTAATAT